GATAATTTTCTAATCCTTCAACTATAATTTAGATAAACTTAATATCATAAGTATAATTCTAAATATTGTGTTTAAACCCTGCAATGTCGTAGAAACTTAAGAAGATATAGTTGGTTAGTTGTAATGATGACTTGTTTTATCTTTTAGTGCTTAATCTTGGAAGTAATTGCAGTTTCCTATATCAATAGTTAAGAAAGATAATGCTTGAGATGGGGTATTTATGAATACGTTATGAGTGATGAGTTATGATAAAGGTATGGATTTATGTCTTAAAAACTTGTGTTTGAGTCCTTATGCTTGTCTAAGATATGAGATGCTTCTATGTCATGTGCATTATATGAAATATTTATGCATGAAATGAGAACTTCATATATGTGATATGAGATAATATGCTTGATGTGATATGAAATGTTAAAGTTTGACTTGAGAATGTTGTGTGCAACATTTGAAACATTGGTGAATGATGAGATGTGAGATGATGACAATGTGTGATACGATAATGAATCAATGATGATATGGTATGCGAATGACTTGAGTTTGTGATAAAGCAATGTGATGTGTACTAGTGGTTATGATATGATGAGAATTGTGCACTAAGTCTTGTACATGAGGCATGCATCATATGCATGAAATATTTTATAACTATATACAAGATTTCGCCTTCAGGCAGTGGCCTTTGGCTAGTGAGCCTTCAAGTGGTGGCCTTCAGTCAATGAGCCTTCAAGTGGTGGCCTTTGAGCAATGTTAAAAAATCAATTCCAAATTTATTTAATCCTATTACTGATAATAAAGATTTTTTTACCAATGAAAAGTATTTTGTTTACTTACTATATTTGATATCTTAACTAATTATTCATTATGATTCATAACTATGGTAGATGAATAAAGGAGTATATTTTAACAAGTAATGCAAACAATTCAAAATCAACAAGATGACAGATTTTTCTTATATGGTTATATATGGAGGCATTGGAAAAAATTTCATGTGGAATACATTAGCTTTTATATCAAGATCTTAATGACAAATTGTGCTAACAGTAGTATCCAATGGTATAACATCTTTCTTATTGCCTATGGGTAAAACAACTTGCTCAAAATTCAAAATTCTAGCTCCCACTTTGGATAACACAATTTGTAACATTCACCAAGGAAGTGAACTTGCTAAGTTTCTCAAATTAACAAAGTTGATTATATGGGATAAAGCTCCAATGACACATAAATTTTGTTTCGAAACACTTGATAAAACCCTTAAGGATATCATGAGAGTGGGTAATGACAATACCTTAGTCTTTGGAGAGAAAGTCATTATATTTTGTGGAGACTAGAGATAGATTTTACTAGTCATTCCAAGAGGGAGTTATTATGATATTATGCATGCAAAAATTAATGCACCATATTTCTTGGATTACTATCAGGTATTAACTTTGACTAAAAATATGTGCTTACTAATAAACTTGAACAACACATCTACTTAAAGCTCAATGAATTTTCATATTGGATTTTGGACATTGGAAATGGAAAACTATCTAAACCAAATGATGTTTATGTTTCTATTAACATTCTAAAAGAAGTTTTTATTACAAATTTTAATGATCCTATAAATGCAATCATTTGAAGCATATATCCTGATTCATTAAAAAATACAAAGATGAACAATTATTGAAGTTTAGAGCTATTTTGGCATCAAGAGTTGAGGTTGTCGATCAAATTAATGATTATGTTCTATCTTTGATTTCAGGTATTGCTTTTAATATGTTGATTAAACTATATCATGTAGAATTATAACACTAAATACATTTTTCAGTTGTTACTTAAGGTAATTATATTAAATTCAATTGATTTTAGGTGATAAAAAGGAATATCTAAGTTCAGACTCGATTGACAAGCTTGAAACAATTGAAAATCAAACATTTGAAGCACTTACAAGTGGATTTTTGAAATCTCTCAAAACATTCAGACTTCCTTATCATAAGATAAAATCAGCCTTGGAACACCAATTATGTTATTAAGGAATATAGATCAATCTAATATTTTACGCAATGGTACTAGTTTTGTTGTCACAAGACTAGCTAATCATGTCATTGAAGCAAGAGTAAGAGTTATAACTGGCAAAAAATTAGGGAACATAATCTACATATCAAGGATGTCCATGTTTCCTTCTTAATCTCCATGGCCATTCCAACTTTGTAGGAGACAATTTGCTATCATTTTCTCATATGCCATGACAATCAATAAATCACTAGGTCAAGTCATTGGAAAATGTTGGATTGTACTCGCCTAAGCTAGTTTTTAGCCATAGACAATTATATGTGACAATTTCTCGAGTTCAATCTAAATCTAGATTAAAGATTTTAATCCATGACAAAGATAGACAATCATTAAAGACAACTACCAATGTTGTCTTCAAAGTGGTCTTCCAAAATTTATAGCAGGCATTATATATCTAACCCAAAACTAACTATAATATCATATTTTGAATCTTGTTAGGCATCAACCTTTACCATTTTTAACATGAATCTAATAGAAAAATAATTAACTTGTATAGACCTTTCTAGTTTGAATATGCATATGTCTAAACTTTTACTCACATTTAAATTTTACATCAAAGTTGTTTTTAATAATCCTTTACAATATATTCAATTATTACAAGTTGTCATTGATTATGTTAATTTGATATAAATTTATAATATATGACAACTTACCAAATTTAATACACCATTTATCGTCACATATTTTAATAAGTTATTATTATTATTTATTTGTAGGATAAATATGTTAGTGTAGTATCGAAGTTTGACAACAAAGAATTTTTTGGATGAACATTATTTACTAAAATAAGTTGCTTCATCTATGTTGAATTTTCACACACAATCTAGTTTTAATCTTTTTGATCTTCCCCCCCCCCTCTAATGTAGTTTACTTGTTATTTAAAGTTTTGACCGTTTTAATAGGGTGTACCAAAAAAAATGCTATTTTGTTCTCATTAAACATAAATATCATAAAACAATACTTATTTTATGAGTTATACTAAGAAAAATAATAGACAAACCAATAACGATTTGTGCATTTGTACAAATTACTTAGTAATTTTTATATAAAACAATAAATGGAATGATTTAATTAAAAAACATATATTTAAATTGATTGATTAGATTAATATATATATAAAATAATAGAATAATAGATTATCATTATTATTATTAATTTAAAAAAATATAAAGTCATGATAACAAGTAAAAAATTGCCATAATCATACAAATATTTTTTAAAGTTTAATTTAATAAATTAGTTGTCGTAATCTCTAAATATTTTCTAATGATTTAACAGATTGATTTACTTAGAATGTATTATTATAATTTAATTACTATAATTAAGTATAATAATATATTTCAATGAATTAATGAATTAAAAAAAATAAAATCAATGAATTTAGGTAGAAAAGAATGAATATGGTAATCACTCGTGACATCTACCTTAGTGACAACCTCTTTTATAATATGTAGATAATACATAGATTTTAATTTGTTCAAAAACTAGATGTTTATTAGATATAATTAAAATTTATAATAAACTATATATATAAATAAATATTATATTTGAATATATAAAGATTCTATAAATATATTTTCAAAATATATAATTCACAAATATATATAATAAATATAAAATTGAATTATATAAGAAATTAAAAATTTCCTAAAAACGTTTATATCAAAAAATAATTCCTAAAAATACTCTCAACTAAGATAATTATATTCATAATTAATATTTAGTGGTTGATGGTTGATGGGTTGATATTCAATTTAGAATTTAACTTTACTTAGAATATATTTTTTTTACTTAGATTTGAAATCTATTTCTGTAAATTAAATATGAATAGTTATTTTTATGGAGATCTTGAAATCTATTTTTGTATATTAAATATGAATATTTTCTAAGGAGAGTAGTTTATTTTAAATGAAACCAATTTTTGAGATTTCTTCACAACCTCTTATATGTAGAAACTCATATCCTTTTAATTTATCAACGAAAACAATATATATCATTTTTAATTTTTAAATTCATTTTAATGTTATTTTAAAATGAACTAGAATTTTATATTAAAAAATGAACAATAAATAATAATTATCTTTATATAAATTATAATATTTATTTTGAACAACCATGTTTTTAGAAATTATTTTTTAATAATAATATTTGTAATTATTTTTCTTTGAAGGTAACAATTTTAAAAAAATTTCTTTACTCTATTTTTTTTAATTAATAATTCTCAATTTTATTTCTAAATAACATTTCAAGATTTTTAAAAGAAATTATTGATAGTTAAAAATAATTTGTAATTATTTATCATGAAATTAAAATATTTATTTGATACAAACTTTAATTATTGTAATGTGATTTTTATTATCTATAATAATAGATGAAAAAGAATATCATTTTTTTCTTAGACACGTTTATTTTTTTAATTAATTAATTTAAATTTTTTTAAGTATTTTTATTTATCATTTGTACTCTCTCTCATTTAATCTATAATAACATATAAAACTGATTCATCATTTTTGTATATACAAATTTTAAGACATTTTGCCTTTTATTTATTATGCTAATTGCACAATTTATTTTAATAGATAATAACATAATAATTTTACTTAATTAATTTAAATAATAATTATCATTGTAACTTCCACATCCCACAGCACCAACAAGGCATATAATCCTCATTTAAACAAAGGCACTTTGTGTCCTTGTTAATAAAAAATTAACAAAATAAGTGAGTATTTATTATTGATAGTGTAAATAGTTACCTTTTATTATATATATATATATATAAATAATTTAAATATAACCTACGAATATCTTTAAGTTATAGATGGTAAAAGATTATTATATTATATAAAAATGAAACTGAAAACTTTTTTGTGAACGTTATTTAAGAATTAAAATATAAATAATATATAAAAATGAAAGTCTGAAGTCTGAAGGTTATCTAAGAATTAAAAAAGAGGAAAGGAAGGAAAAAGAAGAGTTAGGGAAGGGAATTGGGAAAGGAAAGGAAGGAAAGGTGGCGGCGGCACAGAAAGAGAGAGGAGAGGGGAAACGAAAACCATGAGGCATGAGGCATGAGGCATGAGGCATGAGGCATGAGGCATGAGCAGTAGCAGTAGTGTAGTAATAGGCATCTGATCGAAGGGCTGAAAGGAAATCTAGGAAAGCAATCGAACGGCGAGCGTTGGGAGAAGCAAAACGAAGCCACGAATCCTTCATCTCATCATCTTATACCCTTCTTAACTCTCCAATTCAGATTCACCCTTTCTCACGCTCCTCTTCTCTTTTCCCTTTTTAGCTCTTTCTTTATTTGGCCTCCACACTCGCGCATCCATTTATAGAAAAGACAAACACACACACACACACACACACACCAAGCCACCCCATTCGCTCACCGTCCATTCATTCCTTAAGATGCAGCAATCCAACGCCTCTGATTCCTCGCAACCGCCGTCCGACCAGAACGGGCCGCCGCGCCACCAGCCGCCGCGCCCGCACCAGTGGCTGCCCATGCAGTACCCCGCCGCCATGGTAATGCAGCACCACATGCTGCCGCCTCAGCATTACGCGCCGCCGCCCTACGTGCCTTTCCACCACCAGTACCCCCCGCACGTGCCGCACCAGCACCACCACCAGCACCAGCACCAGCACGTGCCCCACCACCACCACCAGAACGGATCCGCCGCCGACAACAAAACCATCTGGATCGGCGATTTGCATCACTGGATGGACGAAAACTATCTCCATCGCTGTTTCGCTTCCACCGGCGAGGTATGCGCGCAATGAGAACGAATCATTGAGAAATGCTGTTATTCGTTATTGTTAGTTTGTTGTGTACCACGATTTATGGGTTTTCTTATTGAATTCGTGTTTAAGTTTATACTTATGTATTGTGTGTGAGAAGCTATTAGAATATCAAGTAAGAGCAGTTAACATTCACATTTAGGTGAATTTTACGTGGTTTTTTCTTTTTTGCTTTTTTTGCTTGTCAAGTGTCAACTTCATTCATATTTTTTTTGAAAAGGTAAAAAAGTTCTTTGGTACTCTTTCATTTGGAATTTTATATGAAACTTACTAGTTATATAATATTTTAAGTTCAGTCCATTAATCCAACGTTATGTATGGTTTGGATGAGTTTGAGGATTTATAGTGTCTTGTCTTGAACATGGGACGCAATAATGGTTTACAATGAGCAAACCATTAAACAAGACATGTTATGTATTGTCATGCTATCCAAAATTGTATTTAGTGGATGTATGAAAATGTTTCTGTTGTGGGAATGAAATCAAGTGGCTATGCTTATTGGTGAAAATAGATTCGTACTTGTTTGGGAATTAATAGTTGAAGAATGCAAATGGAAATAGGAAAGTGGGTGTTATTTTTAACCATTCCCATTTAATGTTTTTAATTGGTTTTGTGCAAATGAACGTGAATGTATTTGATTATTAATATGTGATGTGGTAATAATGGGACAAGGTTATTGAAATGCCTATTTATAGCTAACTTTGCCGTGAGTGGATAATGGTATTATGAGGTTATTGAAATATTTAACAGTGATTAATTGGACTTTAAAGATGTTTAATATTTGCTACATTGATGAAAATAAATATGCATTTTGGAGGCTTAATTTGTTAAGACAAAATATGTTGCCAGTGCTTCTTATATGCAAGCTTCTGACTGTTATATAATTTTGCAGATTTCTTCCATCAAGGTTATTCGCAATAAGCAAACTGGTCTATCAGAGGGTTATGGATTTGTGGAGTTCTATTCACATGCTACAGCTGAGAAAGTTTTGCAGAATTATGCCGGAATTTTGATGCCCAATACAGATCAACCATTCCGTCTGAACTGGGCAACATTTAGCACTGGAGACAAGGGTTCAGATAATGTTCCTGACCTTTCTATTTTTGTAGGAGATCTAGCTGCAGATGTTACAGATAGTTTGTTGCATGAAACTTTTGCTAGTGTCTATCCTTCTGTTAAAGCTGCAAAAGTTGTTTTTGATGCCAATACTGGCCGTTCAAAGGGCTATGGTTTCGTCAGGTTTGGAGATGACAATGAAAGGTCTCAGGCCATGACTCAGATGAATGGTGTTTACTGTTCTAGCAGGCCTATGCGTATTGGTGCTGCAACTCCAAGGAAATCATCTGGTCATCAACAGGGTATGCCAAATCACATTACTTCCTTGGTTCCTTCTCATATATGAGATTTTACCCTTTTCACCTATTTTAACCTCAGATTTCAGCTGTTCTACTTCAGGTTTTTATTAATGAACTTTGAGAACTACATTTCTTGCTCTTGCTCGTATAAACAATAATCAGTGTTGTGGTTTAAATGGTGGATTCAACGACTTTCTAGATTGGTAAATTCCTTGAAATACAAGTAATATGTGCTTTTCACAGCAAAAGAAATAAAAAAAGACAATCACTGTCTCTTTACTAAATGAAAATGAACATCAAATTTGTTTGCGATTTCTTTCGGTAGAAGTTAAGGTAGTTGAAAATTCATCTGAATTATTAATTGCTTCTAATTATGTGAGGTATATTTAAGTGTCAATTTGGTCCATTGGTGTGTGGCATGATATAAATTGCTTTTTTTAGCTTCAAAATAAACTAGTCCAAAAATTTACTCAGTCCTTAATACCCCCCGTTCTTGAATTTATATTTCTGAATTTGTTTTGATTCTTGTCAGACCCCCACAATGGAAAAAAAGTTAATTGTTTTGTTGATGTTGTTTTGTTTTTTCATTGCATGCTACAATATGAGTTTGAAATATTTCGCACCTACATGGTGCTGATTTTGTTAGTTTCCTTGTTTAGGAGGCCAGTCAAATGGCACATCTGGCCAATCTGAAGCAGATTCTACAAACACAACAGTGAGTTTTTCAGTTCCTTTTATTAAGGGTCGCAGTTTAGCCATTTACTGCTTATTTCCAATAGCTAACCAGTAACCAATGATTCATTATAGATATTTGTTGGAGGACTCGACCCTAATGTTTCAGATGAAGATCTTAGGCAGCCATTCTCCCAGTATGGTGAGATAGTATCTGTTAAGATACCTGTTGGAAAGGGGTGTGGTTTTGTCCAATTTGCAAACAGGTAAGAGTTCTGGCCTTCTCAAATCTTTACGTATTGACAGATAACATATTTTTAATCTCTTTATTGATGTAAACACAACATCATTATTCTGAACAACTTTTCCAGGAATAATGCTGAAGAGGCATTGCAGAAGCTAAATGGGACAACAATTGGCAAGCAGACAGTCCGTCTTTCTTGGGGCCGTAATCCAGCAAATAAGCAGGTAAGACTCACTCATGCATTCCCACATTGGCATTTTCATTAGTCTGTTGATCTACAGAAACAAGCATTGTTTGTTGACCTATCAATCCAGCTAGCAATACTGTATAATACACCTGTTTAAAGAAAACAGCTTCTATTTGGCTCCTTGTAATAATTTAAAATATAAGTTATAAGGAAGTTTTCTGGATTTTCTTTTAAGATCAATGGATAAAAGTTTAGTTTTCGTAATCTTATATCCCCACAAAGTTGTGTTAGAGTGCGAGATTGTCTTACTGCTGCCTTTCATTAAGTTGCATGCGATTATTCACTCAATTGGTATATATTTGGATTGCAGTTTAGAATGGATTTCGGCAACCCCTGGACTGGGGCATATTATGGTGGCCCTATATATGATGGTTATGGATATGCATTGCCCCCTCGTCATGATCCCAGCATATATGCTGCTGCTTATGGGGCTTACCCCCTTTATGGAGGCCACCAACAACAAGTAAGCTGATGAAGTTCAGTACAGTGCAGTAGTAGCTTTTACAAGTTACACAGAATCAAGCTTGAATGTGCAAATTAGCATCTCTCTTTGTAACTTGTTTGATCTGTTGAATTCTTAAGAATCCCTCCTAATTGTGGAGCGGAGATGAATTTTGATAGCCTGAGGTAGCAATGTAGGGATTCAATTAATCATTTGTTTAGGCCTGTAGGAGTAATGACTAATGAGGACCTTAAACTTATTATAGGAATAATTGTCTTAAGTATGACAGCGTGTGTGCTTGCGTGCATTTTATTTGATTCCTGCAGTTGATATCGAAGCTTTGCCTTTGTTAGCTTTTAAGGGTCATTTCAATTCTTCTTTGCCAATATTTTTCTTGCATGCCCCTATTCTTTTCAGAAGCGATTATAGCATTCAAGTTCATTGTATTTAAGAGATTTCGTTCATTTTGTTGTCTTCTATGAATCGGAAATCTGAGCTCATTTTGTATGTACATCCATAGTTAAGTTTGAAATATAGTTCAACTTTGCTAAAATAATTGTTTGCAGAGAAAGCTTTCCGGTCCCCTAAAATAATTTCATGTTTTTCGTCTGTAGTGTTTTTTACTCTTTGTATGGAATAATTTTAACCGCATAATGTTCTAGTTTGCCTAATTCATGCCCAAATAAAATTGAGATCCAACCTCGACAACAAAATATGATAGCTGTGTTCATTTTAATCTGGGTTGAGTCTGTATATAATTTTGCTGTATATTGCTTCAACATGCGTAAGATAATAAGTCCCACCTTCATTCCTTTAATAGTTTGTGTATATAAAATTGTTCACCATTAAACCCAGAAGAAATAAAACGGATATTGGCATAGCCTTAGGTTAGGTCCTTGAAGAGAGAGAGAGAGAGAGAGAGAGAGAGAGGAGTGGGTGTATTAATTAAGAATTTGTAATTGAGTTGCTTGAACTTAAAAGTTCAACTTTTAAGTAGAGAATCTCAAAGGAGATAAAAATTCCAGATTTTGCTGCTCGAATATTGAGAGTCGGCGTGGTATTCCTTCAAATAGACAGATAAATGTATTTATGTAACTTATCATATGTACACATCCTTGAATTTTTTACCCTGATATGGAAAGGATATATACCGATCTTTGGAGCTATTTGCCTCCTCTAATTAGAGCTGATGATGAATTTGCATGTGAACCTCATCAAATTTTCACATCTATTTTAAGGATATGTACCACAAATAGACATAAGAGGTTTATTTAGGAGGAAGTTCTCCACGAAGGAAAAATGAGATCATGGTTAGCGCTCGCTGTGGTTGGTTACTTGGAACCATGTGCCCTGCTCCTCTTACAGTGACGAGTGTGAGCCCTTTGTACACAACCAAGTATCCTCCAACCTGCATATTATATGCTGTAGATTACTTACATGTGGCGTTTAAGTTCTGAATATATATATATATATATATATATATATCCTTTTGTTACATGATTTTTCATTTACAGTCAAGTATAGACCAAATTGTTCCATTGTAAGGATGTAAAAAGAATATTAGTTTACCAGTTTAGGACCCTCATCATAATCATAGGACAGTGCTGCAGCTACCAATGCATATATTATATATATATATATATATATATATATATATATATAATAATGCTTCATTGATTACCTCATTGCCAGAGTACCATGGACGCCATGTTGTCACCACTGGGAGTTTCAAGGCATTTACTGAATACCTAGATGATGTTATGGGAACACGCCCATCTGTATCGCCACTGCATTATTGAATAGCAACAACAATGTTAGTGTCTTGGATCAATGTAGCATAGCAATTTGTATAGTCTCTCACCTATAAATCCAAGTGTTTATGCCACTTGATATTAACCGATTTATAGTGGGTAGAATTGTTGCTGGGCTATCTGTCCATCCCACCCCTCTGAACAGAAGCATCAGATGCATTAATTCAGGAAATAGAATAATTACAATTGAAAAATGTAGTCAGGAAGACACAATTAGAGAATTTTCATTTGTCTACCTGCAAGGAGACCATTCTGTGGCTTTAGCATGAAGAGCCTCTTGTACTTCAGCGAGATTTAAGTAGGTGTTGGTATAATCGTCAGAACAAGGGTCCAAACTACTGTCCTACAAAGTTAAACATTGGACAGTTTCTGGCTTAGTTTTGACAAAAATAATCTTGCTCTATTGATCTTAGCGTTCTTAATATGTTCTCAGTAATTAATTTCCCATTTTTGTGAACTTTGAATAGTTCTTACCAAGAAATTATTGTACAGCATGAGTGTGATATGAGACTATCAATGTAACAAGTAGTCAAATTTTACTAATTTTTAAAAAAAATTGAAAACAGCAGGTGTTACGTAAAGATTGCTGAACCATAAACAAATGGTGGTCCGAGCCATACAATAGTTTTTCATTCTTACTCACCTAGTTTGTCTAAATTCATACATATTTATGGGTGTTATAGGTCGAATGAAAGAAGAATAAAAAGTGTGAAGGTGGCGGAAGTTAAGAATGTAACTCAAAGTAAACAAAAGTAAAGATGAAAGAATATAGTAATATAAAGGTTTAAATACCCATTTGCTCCATATAATTTCATAAACTTTCTCCCACAGATAGTTAAAATATTTCATTTCAATCTATATAATTTTGTTCCTTTTAATATCCCGTATAGTTCTAAAAGGTAAAATTTACGAAGTTATAGAGATTGAAAGGAATATATATATATATATATATATATTATAATTATACCGGTATAACTTTTACCAAGTGTTACACCGCTTAATAACTTTATATTAAATGTGAATTTTGTAAATCCAACCGTTAGATTAAAAATTCATATCACTTTATACGTGTATATCAAATTTTGTTAAAATTGAACAATTTGAAGGTGATCAAAATGTTCATAATTTAGTATATTTTGAAATGAATATATTATGTCAATTTTGTTTTATAAAAATGAAGTATCAAATCATTTTGGATTAATATAAAATTTTGTATATATGATCTAAGAGATATGAACTTTCAATTTAATGGTTGGATTTATAAAATTCGCATTTAATATAAAGTTATCGAGTGATATAACACTTAGTAAAAATTACACCGGTGTTATTATAACTTCCTTATATATATATATATATATATAGGGATGGGCAAAATGAATTAAACTGAACTGAACTTATAAAAATTATACTGAACTTTAAAGTAGTTCTCATGAATTGAACTAAACTGAATGTTAGTTTAGACGAACTAAACTAAACAGTTCTTTTGTATCATTGAACTGAACTGAACTACACTATAAAAACTTGAACTGAACTACAATTCAAACTGTACTGAACTGTTATGATATTTTGAATTGAACAATTTTGACTCGTTGGTTTGTCAAGATAAGACACATTTGCCAACTTTACTTTATTTTCCATTTTATTTAAAATTTTCAAAGGAAAAAAAATATAAAATTGAGTCAAACAAACTTAATGAATTTTAAGCCTAATAATAAGTGATCCAACATAGCTCAATTGATCTGTTAGGTTCGATAAAATTGATACAATTTTTTTTGAATTACTTTTTTTCTTCAAAGTTTTGATCATTAGATTATCGAGTTAATCCATTAAATTAAAATATGTTAGACACATTTAATTTTTATCCTTTTATAAAAATAGTTTAATTTTTATCATTCAGTTCAGTTTTTATAGTTCAGTATAGTTTAACTTTTCAACAGTTCAGTTTAGTTCAATTTTTTTTTAAATAGTTCAGTTCAGTTTTTTTAAAAACAGTTCAGTTTTTTATAGTACAATTCATTTCAGTTCACCAACAGTTCAATTCAGTTTAGTTTTTTTTGCCCACCCCTATATATGAAGAGGGTTATAATAATATCGGTGTAACTTTTACTAATTATTAGACCGCTCAATAACTTTCTATTAAATGTGAATTTTGTAAATTCAACCGTTAGATTGAAAGTTTATATTACTTTATATGTTTATATCAAATTTTGTTAAAATTGAACAACTTAAAAGTAATCAAAATGTTCACAGTTTAGTAAATTTTGAAATAAATATATTATGTTAATTTTGTTTTATAAGAATGAAGTATTAAATTATCTTAGATTAATATAAAATTTTATATATCTGATCTAAAAGTAAAGAACTTTCAATCTAACGGCTGGATTTACAAAATTCATATTTAATATAAAGTTATTCAGCAATGTAATACTTAGTAAAAGTTACACCGGTGTAATTATAACCCCTTATATATATATATATTTATTTATAGGAACTAAAATGAAACACTTTTAATTATTATAAAAATTAAAAGGTAAAATTCATACAATTATAAATATCAAAGAAGTAATTAAGCCTAATGTAAGAAAATATATTAAATTTAGATTTTACTATGATTAAATATGAGTATCCTTTTAAGTTTATTTTAACTATTTATGTACTTAACCAAGTACACTTCTCTACTTCCAGTAGAGTCTTCACGTAACAAAAATGAAAACGAGTATGACATGCAACTTACAGAGTTAGTGGCAGGACTGGCACCAGCTTTTGCTGCTGCTGAATCGCAAGGAGGAGCATATATGTCATATATGTTAATGTTTCCAACTTCATCATCCCCACTATTTTGATATTTGCTGCATTCATTTGTTAAGTTACCACTCTCAAAGTCACAATGTCTTTGAATTCCTTCATGTGTTTCATCAGAGTTCAGAGCATGTGTCCAGAAATAGTCATACATTCCCTTTGCACACATACTATCATCTATCCACCCATTCCCAATCTGCAATAAGAATAGAAACTTAAGACCAAAACAAGTTGAAGTTTAAATGTAGTAAATTAAGAGTGTATTTGTATACAAATTTAAAAGAATTTTTGAGAGTTTTTTTACTGATTTTTTTTTTTTTTTTTTTTAGAGAAACTCTAAACTCTCAACAATACTTTTAAGTTTGTATCGAAACATATTCTAAATGTAACAGAAAATTAAACTCACCGCAACCCCTTTTAGGTTGATCACTGTGTGATTGGTAAGCTTATTATTAGTGAGAATAGTGTCAGCTAGCTGAGGGACATAATGTCCAGCATAGCTTTCTCCAGTGATGAACAAGTCTCGAGTTTTGTACTGTGGAAATCTCTCAAGCCAATTTAGAAGAAAAGTGTAAGAGTCCATGGCTGTGCTCTTGTCACCGGTATTAGGGTAGTCAGAAGAAGTGTTTGAATATGAAAAACCAACTCCTGCTGGAGACTCTAGGAAAATAACGTTTGCCACTGCCAATTGTTCAAGAAACTCTCATCAGTTCTAAATAATAATTATGCCACGGAACCAAATCACAATCACTTGTCTTTCTCTATCCTCCCAGTTAAAATGTGACAGACAAGAGACAAAATTTAGAGACCGACTCTTAATTAATTAGGTGTTTTCTACCATGATCTTCCGTAAGAATTTGAATTTTATATTGACATTTAATGCAAATTTTGTATAGAGTAGATTATTGGAATGAAACTCTAATTTTCATCGGAAAAAGATATTGTAAGCACTTGTTATTTTTATTTTTTTTATAATCCTGTTATTAATACAAAGTATTTATTAAGATTGATAACTATATTTTGTTAAAAAATTTGGTCCATTATTTTTAATGAGATCTTTTCTTTCGGTTACATATTTTTCATTCACAAAACTTAAATTCAAAGTCTTATTTAAGAAGATAAATCCAGTATTACTTAAATCAATGGTTTATTATATTTATTTTTCTATCTAGCTAGCAGCTACATTATGCTTACTATTGTTCCATGCATATTGATTTCTGTGAAGTGTTTTTCCATCGCTGTTGACTCTGAAAGGTCCCAGTTCTTGCATGGCTCCATACCCAAAGGAAGAGCAGCCAGGCCCTGCATATCATACATATATTTAGTGATCTAATTCCTTTAAATTACTAGTAAAGGAAAGCATTTTCATTGTTAGAATGATAAATGATTTTGATTTTCTCAAGTTGCAACAAAAAAGAAAGTATTATGCCCAGAAAACATTAGATAGCCCTATCATCCCCTCTTGTGGAAAAATATATGTTGTTTTCAAGTTTCGAGAGTTTTAGTTGGTAGATTTGTTATTTGGTAATCAAAGTTTAAGATGAACCTAAAAGAGAGAACTACTAAAAATAAAAGAAATAAAAAAAATGAGATTTTGATTTTGAAGATGGGTATGTACATGTATCTTGAAATTTACTACTAAAGAAAGAAGTTATCCAAGAATTGCAACTAGAGTGGCATTAAATTTTTTTCTTTCAACATTGGATGGAAATAATGATTTTAACTTTGAACATAAAAAATCTATTAGGATATGTGGGATTTCAAATAGTTTAATTGTATGAGGCTCTAAATTCAAAATTTATTGTTGTGTAAAGTAAACATTAAATAGAGGGAAAAGGGGTTCTTAATTAAGTCACTTGCAACATTGGTTACTAAAATAAGAAAAATTAATATGTTAATAGTTTTTTTTTTAACTTTTATAAGAGTAATATATATAAATGAAAAATGCGTATTTTGTTACTTAATTGAATTCTTAATGCAAAATATTAGTTCTACAGTTTTTCATATAAAGTATACAATGTTAACATACAATTCAAGAATATAACAAAGCATAACTTAATGAATTAATTAATACTATTATAGCTTTTTATTTAAATACACTAATATAGAATAATGATGATTAGCTTTTATGGACTTACTAATATTGTTTTGATCCATTTATGGACTTACTAATATGAAAACAGAAGTGTGGATTAGGTTATGTAATTATTGTGATAAGCGGTATTAGACTGGTAAAATAGGATCATGATAACTTCATACTATTTTTTTTTATCACACTTATTTTTTTCTTCGTATATTTCACATTTTTATAGTAAAAGTTACATATTAACTTTCCGTGTGAAAGAAAGCGTAAAAGAAATATAAAAATAGGTGATGTCAAATGAATATTACCCATTCAAAGTCAAATATTCGAGATTATGAGATTCTTGGTTCAGTTCCAATTGATACTACTACAAGGCAAACTTAAGAATTTTTTGCTAATTAAACTTCTCAATAATTATTAAGTTGACATCATTTTTAGTGGCAGACATGAGTAATGGCTTCCGTGTTAGAATTCCACTAGCGAATATGTTGTCAATGTTGGAGTGTGGCGATTGATTGGGAATCTATTATCTCATTATATAGCAACAAATTATGAAAAAGAAATTAGCATATAAAAACCCATTGATAACTTACACGGAATATAGGGTGGGGTCATAGTGTCATATTATTCAACACTAATTGAGTCCACTTTATAATTCCCGGGGCAAAAGGAATTCTTTCTCTTTCTAGATTTTTTTCTTCTTTCAATCATTGTATTTTTTTAAAAATATTTATTTAACATTATCTACTAATTTTGAGTTTTAGTAAAATTCTCCAACCTCAAAATCTAACCCGTTAATAAATACATTAATTTAAAAAATAACAAATAATTAAAAATAGCCAACCTTGCCCCAAATATGGCACCTTTAAATAATTGAAATATTTGATTCTCAATTATATAAGTGAATAGAGATTAATGAGTACATTCCTAAATAAATAATTATATTTTGTTTACTATTATGACATCTTTAAGGTTTATTGCATTGCATTCCTTTCCCAATAAAAAATCTCAACTAATTTACAACTCGTTTAGTTTAATTTATTTTAGAAAACAATAATACATTTTTGTCACTTTTCTAAATATAAAACTTCTAAAACTAATCGATTATTTCTACCGAAATAATTTCACACTTAGGAGCTATAAGAATTTCTCCACTTAAGATCGATGATAAAAACTAGCAATGATCCTGGTAAATTCACTAAATCTCTCTTTTATATATATTTGATTATTGTTTCAATAATAATGTAGTTAGTGTAAATGATGTACTGACTTTATCAATAACTGATCTCAGCTAAAAGTTTGCTAGATCATTTTAAGTAATATTTTTGTTTATATATATATTTTTTCATTCACGGTACTCAAATCCGAGATGTTGATGAAGAGCAATGCATTTGATTATTTGATACATAGAAACATAGAAATTTATCAAGAAACAAGATGCATTAGAGTTACCTCCATTTAGCCATAGAACAAGAGGCTTGTTGGAGGAGTTGTTAGGTGACTCCACAAAGTAGTAGAATAGTGCTCTCCCTGCTTTTGCATCCACAGTCACATAGCCAGCATATTGATCAAAATCCACCCCTTGTGGTTGTCCCGGCAAAGCCTTCACTTTGTCACCTTCCCTCAACCCACTTTGTTCCTCAACAACATAAACCTTCGAATAATGTCGGTCGTGGCCACTTGTCGCCATTGAAGCCTCTCCATATGAACCTTTCTTAGATCTCCTTGATCGAATGAACCTGTAGAGGTATTCACCCTCTTGGTTGGCCTCACATGAGATGGCAAAGTGGCACCAAGACAAAAACAGGAACCACAAAAGCAATTTTGTTGATAACATTGTTAGCCTCATCTTTATGTTCTAGTGACTAGTAAGTGTCGTGTTATACCTCTTCCAAGCTCTCAAATCAAGTATATTATATATATATATAATTATAATAAGATTTTTAATAAGACACCTCCACCACCATCTTTTTGTTTGTTAATAAAAAAGTATTTTTTTTATCTTGTTGATTTTTATAGAGATAAAATGGTGTATTTAATTGTAACTTAATGTCTAAATCAAGAATTGAATTATGATTTTTTTTATTAAGAAACACTAATATCAAATAATTTGTACTAATAATTTTTGTGGTACCATCATATTCTTTTAGTAATATATATTTCATTTAATTAAATACTGTTTTAACTTAAATTTATTTGGATAGACTCAAGAATAAAACTGTTAAAACTTAAACTTTAGATTCACCAATTAAAAATTATCTACTATATTATATTCTATAAAAAAAGAAAGGTCGATAAAATTTCTTTTAAATTAGGACAGACCCAATAGTAAGACTATTAAAACTCATATATATTAGTATATAGCTTTATTATTTCAAGTATAAAAGTCTCTTTTAAATTATGTTTTAGACCTTCATCATTGTTGGATTGACCCTAACATTATTAGAATTAGCGTATTTAAGATAATGTCTGTTTTGATAATACCTTAATAAATTAAAAAAGAAGTTTATTAATTACATCTAACTCTTAATCGGTGTAATATTTTTTGAGACACTGAAATAAATATAATCAAAGATAACATGTTATAATTGAGGATAATATATTTAATAATACCGTTCACTTATTATATGTTAAGGTATATGATTAGATATTTTTACAAAAAGAAATCTTATTACATGTTATAGGAATTGCTCTAGGAATTTCATATATTATGCATGGGGACAGGATATTGTTTTTCTTTGGCATATACAGTCTATATAATGAAAGTGGTGATAAGGTTATATGATCTCGTGCGATGTGTTTCCCTTTGCTTTTTTTGGTGAGCGATGTGTTTCGTCATCAACTAATAAAGTGAAGTTACATGTATAATTCGCGTATAGCTTACTCATTTGTGTTTTTGTTGTTAGAGTATTGTATTCAGCATTCACACGTTTTTCATACAAAAATAAATCACATGTATTTCTTGATTTGATAAACAATAATTAACTGTATTTAATGGCAGGCAATTTATAGCTTTGACTTTGGGAAGGAAAATATTATTACTCTTATTACTATTTGATAACATGAAATTATAACTACTAGTATTAAATTTAGATAGAATCATGTATTAGGTTGTGAATGTAGCAATTATAAGGGTAGCATGTAAATATAAAATATTGAATTTTATCTGTTATTGCTTTATAAAATGTATTGTTAGATTATAATTAAAGTCTTATATCATTAAAATAAGAAAAAAAAATATGTTTATAAACACATAAATATTTTCATTAGTATGATATTTTTTAAGTGGTGAGAAAAAGAAAATTTATGAGAATTTAGTGTATAGTATATTTCAAAGACTCTTAATTAGGTGTATTCACATTATTAATTTGTTTTTATTTTCGTATTGAAATATGTATATTTATCAAAATTTAATGTCATGATGGTTTTGATTTAATGATAAGAAAGAACTTTAAAAGATGATGTCTTGTTCGGTGTTTAATTATTTTCCACACAAAGAAAGGTTTGTTCGCAACATATCATACTATAAATAAGTGTAAAAATTGACATGAAACCGATTCCATAAATTTAGGTTTTTGTTGCGAAACTAAATGTTCTGATGAAGGTGCCGTCACGTGAGCTCTAAATGTATTCAGTGCATTGTGTAGAAAAAATAAACCAAATAGAATGAAACTTGCATAACATTAGGCATACGTAAACATTGTCGTAATTGAGTTTCTAAAGAAATAATTCTATTTATTTTCTGCCATTTATTTTTGTTATAAACTTAAGTATACAATATTGTAATAGCAAAGGCTGGTTGAGCATCCATCTATGTACGTGGACACTCTACGTCCCATCAAAGAGGGAGCATCATGAATGCTTTCTTTCTTCATTTTCTTGGCTATTTTTTGGTAACCAATTGTTAGTTGAACTGTTGAAGATTGGAAACACTCTCTGAATTTGCTTTGATGATGCATTCACATGTGGATATGGATATTTTCTTGTTTAGCGTCTTTAAAAAGAAACATTCAATTATTAATGGCCTTATTATTTTAGATTCTTTTTAATCTTATTAATGTGAAGTATTTACTGTTTGTATATCAACTTATAGAATTATGTTATTAGTGTGAAATATGCATCAATTTTATCATTTTTTTTAATGAAATCTGTAATCTTAATTATGTTCACTTCTATTTATTAGATTTAAATCAAGATTTTGTTTAAAGGTAAAATTGATATATGAGATTTTGAGAGAATGATTATTGGATGGAGAAAGGCCAACTATAAGTATAACATTGTCCAAACACAACTTGCTGAATAAGATGATTGGGCTCTAAAGATTTTTTCGTTATTTGGGCCGAATGAATGGTGCTTTTTAGGTCATAGAGAAAAATATGATCCAGTCTTGTATTTGGAAGTTGAGCCCATTTTCATTGTCATACAATATCCCATTCCCATACCCCAATTCATCAGTCAGTTGCATATTTATGAGGGTGATTCCTTTTGCAATCAATTCTTTTTTTTTTTTTTCTGCCAGAAATTAGTTTTTGAAATGAGTAGACACTCACTTTGATCCTGAATTTGGAAAGAGTTTTCATATTAATCCCTAAAATTAAGAAATTATAAAATAAAAATGGAGAGTGGTGTAAATTAAAATTTCAAAATATAAAAATGTAATGAAGTGTCAAAGAGAAAATGGGTGTGTAAAGCCCATTCCTTGTTTTAAGTAAAATCAGGCATACAATATATAGAGTTACTTTTGGCCCAAATCCTTTACTGTTTGAGTTTAATGAACTCCTTCTATTGGCAACAATGAACCTGTAGATCACCTAAAGTCTTTTTAGGTAAATTTTTCCATAAATATTTATAGAAGATAAAACTAGGAAGAAAAAAAATAAATTAATGAAAATTAAAAAAATCTATTTTGATTTTTTTCTATTTTAATTTATATATAAGCTAGTTTTACTTTATGAATAAGTTGATTTTAATTTTTTTTTTGTTTTTCTGTCTTTAAAGTGTTTCTGGAGAATTTTATCCAAATATATTCCTAATAAAGTTATGGCTTAAAGTTTGAGATTTGAGAATAAAGTTTATATACTTTTTTTAACTATACAAAATAAATTAACAGAAATTAAATAAAAAAAACTAAACCACACTTAAGTTTTGAGACTCCAACTTTCCCTATAAAATTTGTCTGCGTCGAAAAATAAAAATGTTACAAAAAAAGCTGTCAATTCAAAAATAATATTTTCAACTAAAAAATTATATGTAATAGTTCAATGTGCAAGTATGATTTCTACTATAGTTTATTAACTAATTTACATATTTGTTTGACTAAAATGAAAATATTTAGTAAATGGATTTAGATAATTAGCTTACAGTAATTTTTTAAATGGTGTTTGAAGTAACACACTGGAATGTGTTTAACAAAGATAAATAAGTGAAGTACAAAGTATGTTTCCTTCTTATTGGTTATAAATTAAGCATAAAAAGGTTGGAGTAGTAAAAAAAAGTATAAAAAAGGTTAAAGAAATAAAGAGAGATTATATTCGACATAAATCATGCATGACCATAAGACCCTAAACCCTCTTTATTATAAATCATTCATTACATTTTCTTAAACAAAGGATATCCATTGAGGAATTTGGATCCTCTTTATTTATTTTTGTGTTTATTTCTTTCATTAATTTTGTAAACTTTTAAGAAAATAAATAAAATGAAGATAATATGTATACATATTTTTAGGGAGAGTTGCATTTATGTTCTCAAAACTTAATAATAGAAAAAATGAAAGAAAAAAGGGAATGAAAATGATCTTTACTCTCGTCTTCGTGGATGAATTACCTCTTTCCCACAAGATTTTACACCCGGGTCAAGATATTCAAATTCTTGACTACATGTTAAGGGCCCCAGATTTAATGTCACATGAACTTAGCAATAGGTCCAAAGATTTTAAGTTATGATGACGGCAATATTATATATATATATATATATATATATATATATAATTATTTTTATT